TTAAAAAATCCACGTTTATTGTCGATAATGGGTCCTTTTAAAAATCTTTAAAAAATCCACGTTTATTGTGGATAATGGGTCCTTTTAAAAATCTTTAAAAATCCACGTCTATTGTCGATAATGGGTTCTTTTTAATAATCTTTAAAAAATCCACGTTTATTGTCGATATTGGGTCCTTTAAAAAATCCAAGTTAATTGTCGATATTGGGTCCTTTAAAAAATCTTTAAAAAATCCACGTTTATTGTCGATAATGGGTCCTTTTAAAAATCTTTAAAAAATCCACGTTTATTGTCGATAATGGGTCCTTTAAAAAATCCACGTTTATTGTCGATATTGGGTCCTTTAAAAAATCTTTAAAAAATCCACGTTTATTGTCGATATTGGGTCCTTTGAAAAATCTTTAAAAATCCACGTTTATTGCCGATATTGGGTCCTTTAAAAAATCTTTAAAAAATCCACGTTTATTGTCGATAATGGGTCCTTTTAAAAATCTTTAAAAAATCCACGTTTATTGTGGATAATGGGTCCTTTTAAAAATCTTTAAAAAATCCACGTCTATTGTCGATAATGGGTTCTTTTTAATAATCTTTAAAAAATCCACGTTTATTGTCGATATTGGGTCCTTTAAAAAATCCAAGTTAATTGTCGATATTGGGTCCTTTAAAAAATCTTTAAAAAATCCACGTTTATTGTCGATAATGGGTCCTTTTAAAAATCTTTAAAAAATCCACGTTTATTGTCGATAATGGGTCCTTTAAAAAATCCACGTTTATTGTCGATATTGGGTCCTTTAAAAAATCTTTAAAAAATCCACGTTTATTGTCGATATTGGGTCCTTTGAAAAATCTTTAAAAAATCCACGTTTATTGCCGATATTGGGTCCTTTAAAAAATCTTTAAAAAATCCACGTTTATTGTCGATAATGGGTCCTTTTAAAAATCTTTAAAAAATCCACGTTTATTGTGGATAATGGGTCCTTTTAAAAATCTTTAAAAAATCCACGTCTATTGTCGATAATGGGTTCTTTTTAATAATCTTTAAAAAATCCACGTTTATTGTCGATATTGGGTCCTTTAAAAAATCCAAGTTAATTGTCGATATTGGGTCCTTTAAAAAATCTTTAAAAAATCCACGTTTATTGTCGATAATGGGTCCTTTTAAAAATCTTTAAAAAATCCACGTTTATTGTCGATAATGGGTCCTTTAAAAAATCCACGTTTATTGTCGATATTGGGTCCTTTAAAAAATCTTTAAAAAATCCACGTTTATTCTCGATATTGGGTCCTTTGAAAAATCTTTAAAAAATCCACGTTTATTGCCGATATTGGGTCCTTTAAAAAATCTTTAAAAAATCCACGTTTATTGTCGATAATGGGTCCTTTTAAAAATCTTTAAAAAATCCACGTTTATTGCCGATATTGGGTCCTTTAAAAAATCTTTAAAAAATCCACGTTTATTGTCGATAATGGGTCCTTTTAAAAATCTTTAAAAAATCCACGTTTATTGTGGATAATGGGTCCTTTTAAAAATCTTTAAAAAATCCACGTCTATTGTCGATAATGGGTTCTTTTTAATAATCTTTAAAAAATCCACGTTTATTGTCGATATTGGGTCCTTTAAAAAATCCAAGTTAATTGTCGATATTGGGTCCTTTAAAAAATCCTTAAAAAATCCACGTTTATTGTCGATAATGGGTCCTTTTAAAAATCTTTAAAAAATCCACGTTTATTGTCGATAATGGGTCCTTTAAAAAATCCACGTTTATTGTCGATATTGGGTCCTTTAAAAAATCTTTAAAAAATCCACGTTTATTGTCGATATTGGGTCCTTTGAAAAATCTTTAAAAAATCCACGTTTATTGTGGATAATGGGTCCTTTTAAAAATCTTTAAAAAATCCACGTTTATTGTCGATAATGGGTCCTTTTAAAAATCTTTAAAAAATCCACGTTTATTGTGGATAATGGGTCCTTTTAAAAATCTTTAAAAAATCCACGTCTATTGTCGATAATGGGTTCTTTTTAATAATCTTTAAAAAATCCACGTTTATTGTCGATATTGGGTCCTTTAAAAAATCCAAGTTAATTGTCGATATTGGGTCCTTTAAAAAATCTTTAAAAAATCCACGTTTATTGTCGATAATGGGTCCTTTTAAAAATCTTTAAAAAATCCACGTTTATTGTCGATAATGGGTCCTTTAAAAAATCCACGTTTATTGTCGATATTGGGTCCTTTAAAAAATCTTTAAAAAATCCACGTTTATTCTCGATATTGGGTCCTTTGAAAAATCTTTAAAAAATCCACGTTTATTGCCGATATTGGGTCCTTTAAAAAATCTTTAAAAAATCCACGTTTATTGTCGATAATGGGTCCTTTTAAAAATCTTTAAAAAATCCACGTTTATTGCCGATATTGGGTCCTTTAAAAAATCTTTAAAAAATCCACGTTTATTGTCGATAATGGGTCCTTTTAAAAATCTTTAAAAAATCCACGTTTATTGTCGATATTGGGTCCTTTAAAAAATCCAAGTTAATTGTCGATATTGGGTCCTTTAAAAAATCTTTAAAAAATCCACGTTTATTGTCGATAATGGGTCCTTTTAAAAATCTTTAAAAAATCCACGTTTATTGTCGATAATGGGTCCTTTAAAAAATCCACGTTTATTGTCGATATTGGGTCCTTTAAAAAATCTTTAAAAAATCCACGTTTATTGTCGATATTGGGTCCTTTGAAAAATCTTTAAAAAATCCACGTTTATTGCCGATATTGGGTCCTTTAAAAAATCTTTAAAAAATCCACGTTTATTGTCGATAATGGGTCCTTTTAAAAATCTTTAAAAAATCCACGTTTATTGTCGATATTGGGTCCTTTAAAAAATCTTTAAAAAATCCACGTTTATTGTCGATATTGGGTCCTTTAAAAAGTCCACGTTTATTGTCGATATTGGGTCCTTTAAAAAATCTTTAAAAAATCCACGTTTATTGTCGATATTGGGTCCTTTAAAAAATCTTTAAAAAATCCACGTTTATTGTCGATATTGGGTCCTTTAAAAAATCCAAGTTAATTGTCGATATTGGGTCCTTTAAAAAATCCACGTTTATTGTCGATATTGGGTCCTTTAAAAAATCTTTAAAAAATCCACGTTTATTGTCGATATTGGGTCCTTTAAAAAATCTTTAAAAAATCCACGTTTATTGTCGATATTGGGTCCTTTAAAAAATCCACGTTTATTGTCGATATTGGGTCCTTTACAAAATCTTTAAAAAATGCACGTTTATTGTCGATATTGGGTCCTTTAAAAAATCCAAGTTAATTGTCGATATTGGGTCCTTTTAAAAATCCAAGTTAATTGTCGATATTGGGTCCTTTTAAAAATCTTTAAAAAATCCACGTTTATTGTCGATAATGGGTCCTTTAAAAAATCTTTAAAAAATCCACGTTTATTGTCGATATTGGGTCCTTTAAAAAATCCAAGTTAATTGTCGATATTGGGTCCTTTACAAAATCTTTAAAAAATGCACGTTTATTGTCGATATTGGGTCCTTTAAAAAATCTTTAAAAAATCCACGTTTATTGTCGATAATGGGTCCTTTAAAAAATCCTCGTTTATTGTCGATAATGGGTCCTTTAAAAAATCCACGTTTATTGTCGATAATGGGTCCTTTAAAAAATCCTCGTTTATTGTCGATAATGGGTCCTTTAAAAAATCCACGTTTATTGTCGATATTGGGTCCTTTAAAAAATCTTTAAAAAATCCACGTTTATTGTCGATAATGGGTCCTTTAAAAAATCCACGTTTATTGTCGATAATGGGTCCTTTAAAAAATCCTCGTTTATTGTCGATAATGGGTCATTTAAAAAATCCACGTTTATTGTCGATATTGGGTCCTTTAAAAAATCTTTAAAAAATCCACGTTTATTGTCGATATTGGGTCCTTTGAAAAATCTTTAAAAAATCCACGTTTATTGCCGATATTGGGTCCTTTAAAAAATCTTTAAAAAATCCACGTTAATTGTCGATATTGGGTCCTTTTAAAAATCTTTAAAAAATCCACGTTTATTGTGGATAATGGGTCCTTTTAAAAATCTTTAAAAAATCCACGTCTATTGTCGATAATGGGTTCTTTTTAATAATCTTTAAAAAATCCACGTTTATTGTCGATATTGGGTCCTTTAAAAAATCCAAGTTAATTGTCGATATTGGGTCCTTTTAAAAATCTTTAAAAAATCCACGTTTATTGTCGATAATGGGTCCTTTTAAAAATCTTTAAAAAATCCACGTTTATTGTCGATAATGGGTCCTTTAAAAAATCCACGTTTATTGTCGATATTGGGTCCTTTAAAAAATCTTTAAAAAATCCACGTTTATTGTCGATATTGGGTCCTTTGAAAAATCTTTAAAAAATCCACGTTTATTGCCGATATTGGGTCCTTTAAAAAATCTTTACAAAATCCACGTTTATTGTCGATAATGGGTCCTTTTAAAAATCTTTAAAAAATCCACGTTTATTGTGGATAATGGGTCCTTTTAAAAATCTTTAAAAAATCCACGTCTATTGTCGATAATGGGTTCTTTTTAATAATCTTTAAAAAATCCACGTTTATTGTCGATATTGGGTCCTTTAAAAAATCTATAAAAAATCCACGTTTATTGTCGATATTGGGTCCTTTAAAAAGTCCACGTTTATTGTCGATATTGGGTCCTTTAAAAAATCTTTAAAAAATCCACGTTTATTGCCGATATTGGGTCCTTTAAAAATCTTTAAAAAATTCACTTTTATAGGTCTATTTGAGTCCTTTTAATAATTTTTAAAAAATCTAGGTTAATTCGTCGATATTGGGTCCTTTTAAAATCTTTAAAAAATCCTCGTTTAGAAGTTTATTTGGGTCCTTTAAAAAATCTTTAAAAAAATCCTTTTTTCTCCTGAATTTTAATTTAATTTAAAAATTCCCCCTGATTATCCTTTTCCTTAAATTCTTCCAAATTAAAATTTTCCTCAGGCAGAGAAAGTTGTTGTGGTGCCTGGCGACTGCTCCTTTCAAAGGCGCCATTACAAACTCATTCTGGCGTAAAAGTGAGAAGAATCCTTTCTTCTACTTTTTCTCTTTTGGCTGAAGTGCTTTCAATTAAGGTATCCTTTTCCGATACATATATGTGTGTAGTTACATGGATATCCTGCAATCCTTTGTTATATTTGGCAGTTAGGAATAACAATTTCAAAGACAAGACCAACCAACAAAAATGTGTCTTTCCAGCCTCCATGACGGTCTGAGTGCCTGCTAGGCTGCTTTCCATGATGCTTAATTTAGCTCCGTATTCGTATGTGCCTGTGTGTGTGAACTGGCAAGCGTTTGCCTAGCTGCTTTGAACTAAGAAAGACATTGTCGAAATAAAAGGCGTCCTCCCAATTCTCGAAGCCAAACAGACGCGCACACACACACACATATATGAGAATCAACGCACGTGTATTGGCTTTGCCAGGATTGTTTCTTCTTCTTCTTCTTCTCCAATGAACCATAATTCGTTGGGCGCCAATATATTCACGTATTCGCATTAATACCTTAAGTCTTTTACGCAAGTCGAACGTTAGTTATGCTCCAGTGGAGGATGTTTGGAAAGAGCGACTGAAGAAGATAATGGGAAAGTGTTAGAATGTATAAATAGGTATATTAGGGTGGTACGAGAATCTACAACATAACTTGTAGGAATTTGGGGAAATTTTTCTGAATGTGGTCCACCCTAATGTAAGTGGGTTATTTTCACATCTTTGCATTGTTTTAAGTATTCCACACGCATTCATTTATTGGTTTAAGTTGAAGCACTTAGGCATTCGCTTAAAATACAAAATACAACGAGGTGCTGCCAAATAATTTTATTTGGGACTTTAAAGGGGAACCAAAGCGGATAATAGACCTGGATTTTTTAAAGATTTTTAAATTGGCCCAAACCGGCCAATACCGTGGATTTTTTAAAGATTTTGAAAAAGACCCAAACCGAACAATAACTGAAAATTTTCCAAAGATTTTTAGAAAGGCCCAAACCGACCAATATTTTTGGATTTTTAAAAGAAACACCCAAACATACTAATATTTTTGGATTTTTTAAATATTTTGAAACCAAACCGAACAATAAGTGAAAAATTTCTAAAGATTTTTAAAAGGACCAAAACCTACCATTAAGCCTTGATTTTTTAAAGGATTTTAAAAGAACCCAAACCGACCATCAATCGGTGACTTTTTAAAGATTTTTAAAAGGACCCAGTATTGAAAATAAACGTGGATTTTTAAACGACCCAAATAGACGTGGTGCTTTTAGAGATTTTTAAAGGACCCGCATAGGCCTCTAATATTGGATTTTTTAAAGATTTTTAAAAGGACCCAAATAGACTTCTAAACGTGGATTTTTTTAAAGATTTTTAAAAGAACCCAAACAAACCTCTAAACGTGGATTTTTTTTAAAGATTTTTAAAAGCACCCAAACAGACCTCTAAACGTGGATTTTTTTAAAGATATTAAAAAAGACCCAAATAGACCTCTAAATGTGGATTTTTTTAAAGAATTTTAATAGGACCCAAATAGACCTCTAAACGTGGATTTTTTTAAAGATTTTTAAAAGGACCCAAATAGACCACTAAACTTGATTTTTTTAAAGAATTTTAATAAGACCCAAATAGACCTCTAAACCTTAATTTTTTAAAGATTTTTAAAAGGAACCAAATAGACCTCTAAACCTTAATTTTTTAAATATTTTTAAAAGGACACAGACAGACCTCCAAACATGGATTTTTTAGAGATTTTTTAAAGGAACCAAATAGACCTCTAAAAGTGGATTTTTAAATATTTTTAAAAGGACACAGATAGACCTCTAAACATGGATTTTTTAAAGATTTTTAAAAGGACTTAAACCGACCAATAATCCTGGGTTTTTTAAAAGGTTTTAAAGGGACCCAAATAGACTTGTAAACGTGGATTTTTTAAAGATTTTTAAAAGGACCCAAATAGACCTCTAAACGTTGATTTTTTAAAGATTTTTAAAAGGGCCGAAATAGACCTCTAAACGTGGATTTTTTATAGATTTTTTAAAGGACCCAAATATACCTCTAAACGTGGATTTTTTAAAGATTTTTTAAAGGACCCAATATCGACAATAATCCTGGATTTTTTAAAGATTTTTTAAAGGACCCATTATCGACAATAAACGTGGATTTTTTAAAGGTTTATAAAAGGACTCTAATAGACCTCTAAACGTGGATTTTTTAAAGGTTTATAAAAGGACTCTAATAGACCTCTAAACGTGGATTTTTTAAAGGACCCAAATATACCTCTAAACGTGGATTTTTTGAAGGTTTTAAAAAGACCCAATTGTGGATTTTTTTTAAAGAATTTCAGAGGGACTCAAACTGACTAATAATCTTTGTTTCTTAATGATTTTTAAAAGGACAAAAAATTGTATTTTTTAAAGGTCGGAGGAACTCAAACCGACGAATAATCTTTGATTATTTAAAGATTTTTAAAACGACCCAAAACGACCGATAATCTTGGATTTTTTAAAAATGTTTAAAAAGACTCAAACCGACCAATATACTTTGAAATTTTAAATGGACCCAAACCCACTGATAATCTTGAATTTTTTATAGATTTTTAACCTATCTGTGATTTTTTAAAAATTTTTAAATATGCCCAAACCGACCGAACGATTTTTTGAAAGGACTCAAACCGACCAAAAAGCTTGGATTTTTTAAAGATTTTCAAAAGGGCCCAAACCGGACAATAATCTTGGATTTTTAAAGGACCCGAAACGACCAATAATTGTGGATTTTTTAGAGGCTCAAAATCGACCAAAATTACTTACACCCACCAATAAGCCTGGATTTTTTAAAAGGAGTCAAACAGAATATTTTGTCCTTATTACCTATTATCCGTATTTTGTCCCTCTAAAAACCTTTAAAAATCCACGTTTATTGTCGGTATAGGGTCCATTCAAAAGTCCTTAAAAAACCCACATCTATTATCGATATAAGGTTTTTTAAAAAACATTTGTAAAAAATCTTGCGATTTTGGGTCATTTTGAAATCTTAAAAAAATCGGCGTTTATTGTCTCCTATGAATACTTTTGAATTAAGTTCTGTCTTCATTGAGCCCACTTTGGACTTTTCTAAAAAATCTTTAAAAATCCACATTTATTATCTTCTCCGGGTCCTTCTTAAAAAATCTAAAAAGTCCACGTTGGATCCTTTCAAAAAAATTTTAAAAAACTTAAAAAATCAAAAAACTAGAACTTGAATCGAACCTGAAGAGTTTCTAGTGTATAATTCGCATATGCTAATTTGCAATAAGTTCGAAATATATACTACTTTCCAGAGAACGGCCCTTGTAAGCCATCATCCACACCAAATATGCCTGATGAGCCGCTTAACCAACGGCGAAACGCGTCGCATAGTGATGAGTGTGTGATAGTGTCTATCTGGCTTTCCTTTTCACTGCAAATTTCAGATTATTAAGCTCGTCTCGAAAGAGAAATCAAACACATAAATCATAAAACATATGATCTTCGCCTTAATAAGGCAAAACTCAAAAAAATTCACGTCCTTAAAAAAATTTAAAAAACATCCAGATTGGGTCCTTCTAAAAAATCTTAAGAAAAATCACATTAGGTCCTTAAAAAATATCTTAAAAACTTATTTGGCCCTTCTAAAAAATCCATGTTTATTGTCTTCTCTGGGTCCTTCTAAGAAAAATCCTAAAAAAAATACCAACGTGGAACTTCTAAAAATCTTAAAAAAATCACGATATGTTTTTCTAAAAAATCTTTAAAAATTCAACTATATTATCCTCTTTAGGTCCTTTAAAAAATCCTAAAAAATCTACGTTGGGTCCAACTAAAAAATCCAAGTTTAGTACTTGAAAAATATTTTTAAAAAAATCCATTGTCTCCTCTGGGTCCTTCTAAAACACCTTAAGAAATCACGTTTATTGTCTTCTCTGGGTCCTTATAACAAATCCACTTAGGTCCTTCTAAAAAATCCACGTTGGGTCCCTTTAAAAAATCTTTAAAGATCTACCCATATTGTCTTATTTGGATCCTTTCGAAGATCTTTAAAAAAATTCAAAATCACTGATATTTTGGGTCCCTTTTAAAATATTAAAAAAATCAACATTAATTTTCGATATTGGGTCCTTTTGAAAATTATTTAAAATCCACCTATATTGTCTTCTTTGTCTCCTTTTAAATATCTTTAAAAAATCCACGTTTAGAGGTATATTTGTGTCATTTAGAAAATCCAAGTTTATTGTTAATATTGGGTCCTTTAAAAATTCTTTGAAATATCCACGTTTATAAGTCTATTTGGGACCTCTAAAAAATCCACGTTTTGCCGATGTTGAATGCTTTTGAGAATCTTTAAAAGATCCAAGTATTTTGCCGATGTTGAGTCCTTTTAAAATTTTTTTGAAGATCCACGTTTTTGTCAATGTTGGGTCCTCTTGAGAATCTTACAAAAATCCACGTTTTTGTCGATGTTGGGTCCTCTTGAGAATCTTAAAAAATCCACGTTTATTTTCGATATTGAGTCCTTTAAAAACCATTAAAAAATCCACGTTAAGAGGTCTATTTTGGTCCTTTAAAAAAATTTTAAAACATCCACGTCAATTGTCGATGTTGGGAGTAGTGTGCTTATGGGGATGTTGGGAATTCACCACGATTTATCACGGCAAATTCTATTGGGGATGTTGATTTGGGTAAATTCACCACGGTGAATTTTAATGGGGATGTTGTCTTGGGAATTGTACCACGGCAAATTCTATTGGGGATGTTGATTAGGGTAAATTGTCCACGGTGAAATATATTGGGGATGTTGTCTTTTGCATTGTACCACGTCAAATTTTATTGGGGCTGTTGGCGTTGGTGTTGCTAGTTTTAATATGAACTACTAGATGGCGCTAAGTTTAGCGCAGACACAATCCAAAACTGTGTATGGGATGGTGAAATTTCAAGTTTTAATATTCACCACTAGCAGAGACACCCTCCGAAAAAAAAAAAAAAAAAATGTATTATGATCATATCGAGTGGGGCT